GTGGTTGCAGATAAAGGGGGGGGGGGGGGGGGGTGGCTGTCTTGGCTTCTTGTTCTCTATCTTTGGCCCATGCCCCAGGGGACACTGCTCCCCACCTGTTTACTATGCTACAAGGCATCTAAAGACAACATGGAGTCTTAGCTCAAGAGAGACAAACTCCAATCAGCGTTTCGACCCCTCACCAAGAACAAAAGTGCTTCTTCAGTCCCAATCTGTGGTGGGAGCCCGGGGCTTCCCCTGCCTGTCCCTGTTTTATACCACAAGGTGTGCTTTCTCTCCACAGAAGGTGTCTTGGCTTCTTGTTGGCTATCTTTGACCCATGCCCTAGGTGACCCTGCTATCCCCTGTTTACTACACTACAAGGCCCCTAAAGACAACATGGAGTCTCAGTTCCAGAGAGGCAAGCTCCAGTCTACGTTTCAACCCCTCACGAAGAACAAAAATGCTTCCTCAGTCCCAATCTGTAATAGGAGCCCGGAGCTCCCCATGCCTTTCCCTGTTTGATATCACAAGGGGTGGGGGGCTTTCTCTCTACAGAAGGGGCCCCCGGAGACACTCAGCTGATTACATCCATCGGTGTGCACTGTATAGAACTAATCAGGGGCTCATTGATTATTATGTCATATGTGTGATTCTAAGCTGGACCGGCATTTATTGATTATGATGTCATTTGACATGTGTGCTGATTAGAAGGTCCACATGCACTGGTGGGATAGACGAGGACCTTCTGTCATCTGCACTCTCTAGACATGTTTGATTCCGGACGTTAAACGTGTACAATTAATCCGTCGTCTGTAGCGGGCACAATCTAGATAGCGCATAGGCATCTGTGGTGTGGATTCTGTAACTGATGGCGATGGAGCTGATTCATATCACTACAAATCAGATTTCTTGTTTTATATAACAGTGTAGGCGAGAGAAAAATACATATAAGCTGATTCAAATATTTCCAAACCGGAGAACAAAAATAGAACATGTTGCAGCTTCCCAGTCCTTAGATCTGGCAGCTGCATTCGTTTTCCCGTGATCCTGCCAGTAACACACTACCTGTCCAGGGTGACAACGCTTACTCCTGTGCTATATCTATGGAGGAGCAGTGTTGTCACCCTCGCTCATGATTTGGACTACGACCCTGCTCCTTCTTATTTCTATAACATTCTAGTGCATCTCACACACATACAAGGGCCAATTTAGACAGGAGCTGATTAACTTCCCAGCATGTCTTTGGAGTGTGGGAGGAAACCAAAGTACCCGGAGGAAGCCCACACAAGCACAGGGATGAACATGCAAACTCCCAATCAATTTGTATCCAATCAGCCAGGACCTTGTTGTTGGTAGATCTAAAGGAGATTGTACAATCATATTGTAATGTGTGTGTGAGGCTAAAGCTGACCGTATATCATACAATGTGTGTGTTGAGCCCAGTGGTGTCACTCGGACATTCGGACACATCTGAATTTCCGAATCCCAATGCATCCAAACAAACAGGGGCGTCCCGAGGCTGGGTGACACCCGGAGCGGTAACCGAGTGTCACCCCGATGACGTCATCGCGCACGCGCGGCAGTATTCTGATACCTGCCGGCAGCCATTTTGGTGATGGACGCCGGCAGAGAGAGGAGGGGACATTCACCTGGCGGGATAAGGTATTCCGCCGGGTCCCCTCCTCTCTCTTGATACTGTCGGGCGTTCGGTCCATGACCAAGCGCCCGACTTTTCAAAGGGGGGTGACACCAAAATGACTGTGAGTCATTTTGGTGTCACCCCTCCAATGGTG